GCTGACACAGGGAAAACCTTCAATAAATTAACCACCGAGTAGTGATACCAGGAGAGCTGAAACCATAGGGATCCCTTTCTGATTCGGAGGCCGTTTCCTTTTAGCTTGGACAAAACTGTTCCTGATGAGGCACTTCTCTGTGCCGGGAGGGATGTATCACTTGCTGGCTGAGATCTCACGAAAGTTGGAAAGACCTGTAGAGCCTCAGGTTGAACACTGCAGCCCGGGGAAGACAACCCAGACAAGGCAAAGCAGCATGCCTGGCTGTGGGCTGTTTGGCTGGCCTAATTTGAAGGGCAGTACCCAGGAGTTTTCAAAGCAAAGGTTGGCAGCCAGGTTTTGATTCTCCTCTCACTTTTTGTACAAGAGATACGTTGTGTCACTCAACTGTGTTAACAATAATGTGCTCTTGAAAAATCATAGAGACACATTGCTCTGAGGTTAAAACATGAGAGTAGGCTACACCTGAGGAACATGTAGCAATTCAAATCTAGTGGAGGAAGCTTCCAGGAAAAACATACGTAGCAGGAAGCTTAGATGAAGAAAAATAATCGGATGCACAAGCTAGAGAATTTTCTTTCCTTCCTATTAAAGCTGGTTCTCTAGAGTTTGCAGGTCAGAAAACAGTCCGGGACAAGCACACTGTTACAGTGCAGTATCTAATAACAAGACCTCACCACAAAGCAGGTGGCACAAAGCAGTCTAATAGCCAAGTAAATTTGTTGGAACTAAAATTCAGGGAAAGAAACAACAGCTCAAGTATTTGTTCCCAAGACACATGAACGTTGTGTGATGAATAGAATTCATTCTATTGTGTGCACCCAAATATTGTGTGGCGGCAGCGTGGCATAAATTAGGAAATGACCCCCTTTCAGCTAATTGCTTGTACAGGTGAGTGACTGCAGAGCAGGAAGTGGGATACAAATCTACCCAGGTCCCATCCTGCTGAGTAGGAAAAGAATTGTCATTTTCAACAGTCATTTCTCTGCTGCTGGCTGAGTAGGAAACACAGTAGTCTCTCCCTAAAACTCAGAGTGCTAACTCTGGGTCTGTCTCCAGGTCTGCCAGAAGGCAAAAATAAGTTTTAATGTTTTTCCTGCATGTAAGTGGAGGCTAAAAGAGAAAAAAAATGGAGAGCACATCTCCAGTAACTCACGAATCTAGACGTCTTCCTCTATGGTTTAAAAAACTGGCAAAAGAAAGAACTGGCCAAACAGGACTAGAGCTAGGAGGGAGATGTGTCTTTCAGGTCTCTGGGACTTGCTACACAGTTCTCTGTAGCACATTTAGCATTCTGAATATGGTCAAACTTACATATCATCTCTACTTGAGGTACTGGGCTCTAGCTATACCACAATCAACACATAGCATAGTTGCATTAGGAGTTTTCAGTCAGATTTAAAACAAGGCAATAGCAGGGAAAAGAGCTGGGAAACCTGTTATTGCATACTGCTGTGAATTATTGCCATGTCTTTGGGCATTGTTCTTGGAGGTTATAGTCAGACCTGAATCAGACGACACCCCTAGTGAAAAAATTTCCCCAAAACATTCAGAATACACTCATGCAGACGCAAATTACAATGCTAATTTGGGAATGTGCTGTTATACTACTTTCTACTCATAAACTCAAAATAGTTGTTCAGAAGATGGGTCACACATCTTAATAGATTATCCAGAAATTGGAAACTTGTTGTGCAGTAAGACTTAATCAACAGGACTGTAAGGAATTTCTGTAAGTAGTGTATTGCTGAAACGATGGTTTCCTCAATACCTAATTTCTCTGTGAAAGAAATGTGGGAAAAAAAACCCCTCAATTTTTTCCTCGTTAAAAAGTGTGTGTTTCTGAACAATTGGGATGGTAAGCAGAATGTGTTGCTTTAAAGTGCTGTCCTCATGTTTATGCTGCTGGATACACATGGTAGCACTTCCCAAGGCCCTTTCAGCAGAGACGGTGTCCTTTTCTCTGCTATCTGGATCAATACCAACCTCAATCATTGATTTACATTTTGAGCTGTCTGCTCCAAAATATGTTTGTTTCAAAGCATGTTTGCTTTCCTTACCTAATAGTCAGACACCTCATTTTACATAAAAGGCTTGCTTCTCATCTTTAAAAAAGTACCTGTGGACACCAAGTGATGTGAGCAGTAGGCAGATGGCATCCTCTAGACCTGTTCCAATTGAGTGACACATTGCAAAGAAACCATTAGAAAATACAGCCTTGTGTCTCAGAGAA